AAATTTTAAGAATTTAAACTTTCTGAACTCTGTTAGTTCCGGTCCAGAATTCCATTCGGTGTAAATAAAAGAGGTGACGGAATAGTAGCACTTCGCACTCGCGATTATGTAATACGTTCTTTCGAGCCAAATCGATTTTTACTGAATCGGTGAAAATGTATCCTATTTTTTATAATTTTATTATATATTTTATAAATATTTTATATATATTTTAATTTTATATTTTATTTTTATAATTTTATTACATATTTTATAAATATTTTATATATCTAATTATATTTTAATTTTTATAATTTTATTACATATTTTATAAATATTTTATATATCTAATTATATTTTAATTTTTATAATTTTATTACATATTTTATGAATATTTTATATATCTAATTTTATAAATATATTCTATTACACCCCATGTAGGATCTTTTCTATCAAAATATTTTTCTATCAAATCTTTTTCTATCGAAATATTCAAAATAATTTAAAATATCACAAATATTCAAAATAATATTCTACGTGTCGATCATTCGAATTCAAATGATAATCAGACTGCCAATTTTCAGGCATTCTCAAATTTTCATGAGCATAGTTGAAACTGGATAAAAGAAATCGGAACCGAATGAAAAATTGTTCCTTTTACATACCTTTTACATCTGTTATAATTGATAATGTTTGAATATTTTATATATTTTTAGATATTACGTGTGTTGTGTGGATTTTCGTATTTTCAAATTTCCCGCCATTGCAACACTAGCGATCGAAATAAATAGCTATGCTTCTAGTCATCAATATTAATTTTGACTGAAATGCTTTAAGAAAATCTGAGATCTATTTTTCGACTTGGTTATCCCACTGTTAATTAATAACAATTAATTTAAATCAATAATAATTAATAACAATTAATAATCAATGACATTGCATTGATAACAATTAATAATTAATAACAATTAATAATCAATGACATTGCATTAATAACAATTAATAATTAATAATAATTAACAATTAGTTTAGATCAATAATAGTAATAATAATTTCATTGTTAATTAATTTAGATCGGTAATAATTCAGCTGGATCAGTAACTGGAGTAGAGAATGTAAACCGGAAGTGAATGATTCCTCACTCGAAAAGTATTTAATCATCGACAATATGAGATCTCATGTATGCTCTGATCTCTCTAAAAATTATAAACAATTATAGAAATACATTCCTGTGTCGATTTTATATTTTTCTTTTTTATCTCTTTAGCTCTTTGAATCTACTAATTATATATATATATTAATTTTAATTTAATTTAATTAAATTTATATTAATTAAATTTAATTCTTAATAAATAATTAATTATTAATATTAATTAAATTTAATTTAATTAAATATATATATATATATGTTGATAGATGTTGCGTGTTAATTTGACGAGACAATGTCACATCCATTTCAGGACAAATCGTTGATTTTTAATTTTACCTCAAACTACATGCAAACGTGAACCTAGTTTTAGTTATATTTTTGTCCTCATCCCGACGAATTATTATTTCTTATTTTCCTTCATAATTCAATTACTCGCCGATGAATATCTATTACCCACGCGTAACGAAAGCACAAAGTGCAAATAAAAATATACGGATACGAATGGTAAAAAACGTTGGAGATGAATGAAAATTAAATAAAAAGTCGAAAACACTTCATTTTACTGTTCATTTTACTTACCAAAATCTGCGCAAGTGGGGTGAAAAGCTTCACTAAAAAGGAATTATCGAGTCAACGCTGAATTTTTTTTTCTTCTTCTTTTTTT